CTAAATTTGCGGTTGTATTCCGATCCATGGTTGACTAGATCAACAGTCCGGAGTGGGCCGAGATGCGCGGAGCATGATCATTAATTAGATTTTTTTTTTTTTGCTGAGCCACAGATTGTGCGACAAAAAATAAGTGGATCATCAGTCCCGGGCAGTCTTGTGCGATATATTAATTTTTGCATATATCAAAAGAAAATATTAGCTAACTAGTCTCTCTGTTTTTTCCGATTGAAATTTCTTCTAATCATATAAAATGCATACAACTAATTTGCTTGATCGGCTTATGCCTGAACTAATACCATTTATTCTAAAGAATTTATCGATACAGGAACTTAAAAAATGTTGCAGTATAAATAATATATGGAAAGATGAGGCGTTTCGGGAAATTCGCAAAAGATTAATAGTGGATTGTACATTCACTCGTGCTAAAGTAACTGTCAAAGCATTGATTGACCCTAAATCCTTTCATGGTAGCATTAGTAAGACGCTTGCCAAAAAAATGGAATTATATATTTCTAGAGAATATGGGTCAAGATATCCTGCAGTAAGAGACCTTGGCATCTTTTTTCTCTTAAATTAAAATTTATTCGAAAAAAGGATTTATGAAAAAATTTATTTGAAAAAAGTGATTTATGAAAAAGGGGAAATGTATGGCTAATGCATACAGGATATGCTGTTAACCCACCAATATACATTAATAAACCTAAAGAGATCGAAGAACAAGAAAGGGAAAAAAGACAATATCGCTGTAGAAAAAATCTTTGGGAATTACCTCTTTCATTGCATACATTCTACAAGCTATTATTATCTGATTTCACTGCAACGGATTCAGATGGAGAAATCATAATAACCAAATTTTTCAAACATTATAAAGTTATGGACAATCTTGATTTAAGTGAGTATTATGATTCGGAATACACTGAAACAGAGTCTGAATGTTCTAACTCTGAGGACGAGAGCGAGGATGAAGAAGTCGCCTATAATAACAATGTGCCTCCTCCGATAATTATGGGTACAGCTCTACGGAATAGTGGTACTCTACCGATCTAACTAATCCGGAGCGGTGATCATTGATCGGAATTTTTTGTGTTACAAGCGGGGTTACTCCTGTGCGACATAAAAATAAGTGGATCATCAGTTAGGACTTGTGCGACATATTAATTTTTATCAAAAACAAATGTGAGAAAAATGCGAAAGGAGGTCTACATGCAACACAGGACCCTTTACTCTTTAAAGTAAAGAATAGTGCCGGTAAAAGCATATGTTATGAAAGGCTGAGGGACTCACAATTTCGAGATCGTCAGGCGTAAGACCGAGTATGTGTCTCTCCAGTAGATTATGTGAAAAGGTAAGAGGATTCTGTTTACATGTGCTTTCAAGGGACTCTTGGCATCATTATGACAATGCTAATCACTCCTTACCTTTTTCCTAGTAATATATAAAGCATGTAGGAGTATGTGGAAGTTTCCGTCCACCAACATTCCCGCAAAATCATTCCAGTAAAATAACGCAAAAATAAGGTATGTACAGTATATGCCAGAAGTTATTCTTTCATGCGAGTGAGCCAAGCAATTTTCTCATTATGGATTCTTGCATTTAGGCATCTAAATGGCCTTAGAAAAATCACTCTCAATTGTTTTATTGTTCCTATAGGAAAACTCATGAATACTCCATGTATTAAAGTAATGCAGGCAATTAGAATTCACATACAAGATGATTTTAGCGAACTCGAAGATGCAATTAAAAGCAGATTGGGGGAACCATTTGATCAAATCCCTCTCAAAATTTGTCAAATTCAACATGGAAGCCCTAATGAAAAGCAAATGGATCCGGTGAAGTTTATTTCCGACATTTTTACCGAGGAACCTAAACCAGAGCACTTCCATATCACTGTATACCCCTTAGAATAATTTTCTATATATGTAGTAGCGATATATTCGCAATTTTTTTATGTATTAGTTGCTCCGGCAATGTATTATTTTACCAGTAACGGGTCATGTGTAATGACGCGCCTGTGCGACATAAAACCCTATATTAACGCTCCAGCCCTTTCACAGAAATAAAAATTTTATCCTTCGGTCTCACCCCAGCTTCCACTTCTACTTCTGTTACTGCAATTGGAAATGACTCGCTCACGCTAGCGGACGAAGTAATACGGTTGAACTTATCTCGTTTTTGCGGGTACAGGAAGACTTGGGTCTTAGTGAGACAGCCCTTGAAATTTTGGAAAACGAAGAGGTTAATGGTCGTGCCTTTCTCAATATTACCGAAGAAAAACTCAGAAGCTATGGTATGAAAGGTGGACCCGCGTCAAATATCGCTGTCTTCGCTAAAGAGTGTAAGGAGAAAAAGAGAAGGGCCTTTTCAACATACCGCATTTTGAAAGAGATGTTAGCAAGATACGGTATTGACTCTAATGGTACGGACACCATCCCGATTTTTTCCCTACAAACCCACGAAATTCAGGAGGAAGACAAATATTTTGAGCATTGTGTGGAGAATATTTTATTCAGGATGAAGCATTACGGGTCATTAGTTGTGGATAGCTTGGAGTCCATGCATAATGAATACGTTTCAACTATACTCCATACGTCCCTCCATATCGCAGAAGATCTCACGAGAAAGGAATTTACCATGAGACCCGAATACGAGATAATTGGTGATGAAAGTTCCGGGCGAGTCAATTATGCGATCAAGGTATAAGATTTTTCCATAACTTTTATTTCCTGGCAATTTCAGAGATATACTTATACTATACTTTCATTTCAGGAGGCCGAGAACCTTATTTGTGTTACCGAAGACAAAGTCCAGCGTAGTATCCTCGAAGGCTTTGCCCAAAATATCAAACAGCTTGAGTCATCATATGAAACAAACAAGAGAAAACGAAAGCGGGATGATGATGATTTCGACTATCTTTATGGTATTGTCACTTCGGCCAGGGACTGGCATTTTTTACTTTATTCTCCAGGTGAAATTTCTCAAGCAAGTGAGGTTCCCCACACCATCGAATTTAACAAGAAGGCCTTGGATAAAGAATCCGAAGAATATCAAACGTTGCGTAGTGGTGTGAGGAAGGTTTTGGGTGTGATCGTTGGGTTAATAAAGGATAGGGCATGTTCGGACAAAGAACCTGATAGGAAGAGGTCTAAGATAGAGGGGTATCGTTCGAAAAAATAATCGTATATAATAGTCTACCACCATTAGCATAGACGTCATGTATCCAGGCAAAGTCCCGAACCTTTGTATTTATTTTTCGCATGTATTAATAAAAAATTTTCTTGGCAAAATTTCGGCGAACTCAGTTCGCCCAAAATCACGTGATTTATTTTATTTGAATATTTGTATATAGTTTGTGAATGGTCTTTTTGAAATCGCTCCAGCTAAGGCTATCGACTATAATGATGTATATTCTGATGATGAATTTGATTATGATTGGTGCAAGATGATTCGGATGATGATGGATATAATGGATACGATGGATATGATGGAGATTATTATTATCGTGACGGAAGATACGAAAGGAAAGTCTCACCAATGATGAGTCCTATTATCTCTCCGGTAACCGCCTGCCGTTAAGGCGCTTCGCAGGAGAATTAGGTAGTTGAATTATATCCGCAGAATATTGTTTGCGCAGTAGAGTAACTTCGTCATGTGAGGAAATCGATCACCTGGCCGAAGGCGCTAAGGCAAATGCGCAGTACAATATCGGGAAAATTCTCTTTTTTTCAGAAAAAAAAATCTATCACTTAATTTGAGTTATTTCATTCTCACCCCGCAGATCGATAGATCAAAGGGGGCAGGGCTGTGCGACGTGCGAATCGCATATATATTCGCATGATTTTTTCGAATCAATTTTTGCATGTCATGTCTCCGGCATGCTATTAACAAAACAATATTCGGGTATGGATATTTCTTCAAGCAATCATCATTTCGCATATGAGATTTGGGGATGTGTATGTTAATCCTCCGTCATTTTTTATTGATTTGCTTAACAACCTCAAGACACTTGCTTATAATATCCTTAAAAGTCTCGAAGATAACGCTGTTAGAGATGTCGAATTTTCGGAACTAGGGCCATGCACTGAATGTGATAACGAGATTCTTTCGTTGCCTCTTAAGGCATTAACTCTGCTCAGTTGTGGACATGTGTTTCACAGGCTTTGTATTGAGAAAAAACTTCTCGCCGAAACGGGTGTATACCCATTCCCCGATTGTAAAAGGAGTGTAGATATTATTGGAGATGCGAACACTAGGCGAGAAACAAATCGTGAAGAAAAATCTCCAGAAACTCCGCGGGAAGAAGATGATCAAGAAATGGATGTGGATGAGGATGGTGGAGACGATGATGGGGGTACCAACGCCGATGAAGATGAGGAAGTAGAAACTCAACCCGAAGAATCAATGGGATCTGCTCCCTCTAACAGTAAGAGCAAGAAACGGGCTAATGAGGCTACGGATTCTTCAGCCAGCAAGAAATCTAAGAAACGTGATCTAGATGAGAACTCCAACGTTTTAAAAAGACTCATCCGGGAGTTGTCTTCCGATACCACTCGAATTTCAGTAATTAAGGAAAAGAAAGGTCTCCAAAGAGAATCCATGCAAGAAGATAGAAGTACCAAAATTTTCTTTGATCTGTATTTTAAGATCACCAATGCTGAAGAGCGAAATGAAAAGGCACGCCATGAACTCATTACAGCTTATTACCACTATGGAGAGGAACTAAAGAAACGCCTTGTCCATTATAGAGAAGGATACGAAGAACATGAAGCCCTAAAGAAGCTTTACGATGAGGTTAAAGATCAGCTTCCCAAAGAGGTTACCAAAAACGCTATCCGGAAGAAATCGAACAGGGCAAGGAAGGTCTATGACCTTTTTTTTCGTATTACCAATGATAAAATTCAACGGATGGTATTCATCCAACGAATAAAATCGTTTTCAGCAACATCTATTTCGAATCTAAGTGATAATAATATCAGATATGTAGCGTCTCAGGTTAGGAAGAACACACGAACTTAAGGTCAAATAATGGTGGGATTCTAAGATCGAGCCACATGGCGCGTTCTCAAAGTTTGCACTTTTTTTATATACCGTATTGTAAAACAGGATCCTCGTTGTACACATTAAAACATTAATAAAGTTCCTTCGGGTGAATTTTTAACCAATGTAAATCATGTTCGTGTCCATCATTACGTGTAATACGTCCTGCGAAGTCCGAAGTCATGTAATTTATTTTATGAAAAATATAATAAAGGGACAAAGAGCTTTACTTTGATTTTTGCTAGATCATTAAAAATGCTATTCTACAGTTGCTAAGCGCTATACATACAATACTAATAAAAAGAACACTCTATTTCTTATTGTTCTTCTGAACTACCACCATAGTTGATAGTGACATTTATAACGTTCGCACTTTGGGAAAATGAGGGAATCGTAGGTGTGACTGGCCTAGATATAGTAGGGGATTCGGCGGTTGATGGCGTTGTAGATACCGCTACTGTTTCAACAGATGAAGTGATGGGTTTTGTAACCACCGGTGTTTCGCGAGAGGGAGTTCCAGCTTGTGGAGAAATTTCCTGAGATGATTGCTGGGACGATTGATCATTTCTCGGGACTGATGCCTCAGAACTTGATCTACTCAACCTTCTAACATTCTCTTTATGTACTTGTTCGAAGGATAACTCTAGCAAATATATAAATCGATTTAAAAGTAGAACCGTTTTTTCTCATAATATAAAATTTATTCGAAAAAACAGAAGTTTCTGTCCTCCTACATGTTTTTTCCGAGAAGTTTCGAGGAAAAAAGAAATTTAGTGGAAAGCTCATTATAAATCTCTTCCCCAACTAAGCTCTTTTTTGTCCCAGTTCCTTTTCTATACTTTTCTGCCGTCTAATAAAATAATGATATTAAGAATATTATCAGCCAGATTCTTCGTAGCGGTAGAGCCAAAGCAAGAGCTACTTACTTTAAAAGCATTCGTGAGAGTATTGAACTTCTTTTGACAGTCCTCACCAGTGAAATAATTTGTATTCTCCTGCTCGTTCAGCTTCCTAGCGACATCTTCCCAAAAGAGACGTTTCTTTTTATTTGAAGTAGAATGGAACTCAGCATTTCTTTCTTTTCTTTCGTTGATAATGAAGCGAGTCTGGGCGTCGGTCCACTTGA